TTAAATAACTTTAAAATTTACTCATTTGTTCATTCTGAAGGAGTGAACGCAGGGGGAGGGGCAGAGAGGAGAGAATCCCAACAGGTTGTGTCGTTAGCGCAGAACCTGACATGGGGCTCAAACCCACGAACCATGAAACTGTGACCTGAACTGATATCAAGAATCAGATGCTCAACCAACTGAGCCACTCAGGTGCCCCCCAAATTCTTGACCCTAAAAAACTAACTGTATTAGATATTTGTTGTGTTAGGTTGCTAAGTTTTGGGGTAATCTATTATGCAGCAATAGCTAACTAATACAGTGAAATAAACAAATGAAAAAACTAAATCAGTTTAAAATATGTGATGACCATAGGTATAAGGTGCCCCATATCCCAAAATATCCTGAGTGGAGTCAAAGGAGCCAATCCCCTGACGCATGTATAGCCCTCAAGTTCTATGGTTTCCTTTTCAGCCACTTACTCACTAACCAAACATTTGCTCTGTGCTCAGAGCAGGAAGTCTGCTTGGGATTCTCGGCCTCCTTCTCTGTCTACCTCTCTCTCGTTCTCAAAAATAAACAAATAAACATTAAAAAAAAAAAAAAAAAAAGCTCTATAGCAGATCTTACCCCCAGTCCCTGGCTGAAGGCTTAAGGCACTCTGATTCCAAGCAGACTTGGCCCAGCACAGGTTGGCTAAACTGGAATCTAGGCTCCAGGGAGTTATAGGCTGGAGACAAGGTTTCTCATCAGATAGTTACAGGTCCCAGGAGGCCAGAGCTTCCAAATAGGAAAGGTAAAAATAGTATGAAAGAGGCTTCTGAACCGGAAACCTCAGACTCAGAACTGCTTCTGCCTCCCTCTTCTTCTGCCCCTAGGCCGGTCCTGTCACCACCATCACTGCTGCCCAAGTCAGTCCTCACCTCCTAGTACCTGATCCAGCCTCTTCAGTTCACCCCATCCTGGGCAGCATCAGATCAACCTTCTTAAAAGGACTCCTTCTCAAGATTTCCCATGGCTCCTGGTGCAGAGCTTAATACAAATGAAGTCTCCTTTGGGGCGCCTGGGTGGCTCGGTCGGTTAAGTGTCCGACTTCGGCTCAGGTCACGATCTCACAGCTCGTGGGTTCGAGCCCTGTGTCAGGCTCTGTGCTGACAGTTTGGAGCTTGAAGCCTGTTTCAGATTCTGTGTCTGCCTCTCCCCTACTCACACTCTGTCTCTCTCTGTCTCACTCTCAAAAAATAAATAAAGATTTAAAAAATTTTTTTCAAAAAACAAAAAACAAATGAAGTCTCCTCTGTCAGATCTCCAGGAATTCAGACTCAGAAGGTCTGGAATGGGGGCCCAGAAATTTGCATTTTAATCAGGGAGTCTAGTACCCCCTAAGAAACAAAGCCTGGAGGTAGAGCACCTAGGTGGCTACATTTGAGCATTTGATGACTCTTCATTTCAGCTCAGGTCATGATATCAAAGTTCCTAAGATTGAGCCCCGCTCTGGGATCCCTGCAGACAGTATGGAGCCTGCTTTGAAATTTCTCTCTTCGCCACCACCTCCCCCACTCCCTATCCCTCTCATGTGCATACGTGCACGTGCTCTCTCTCTCTCTCTCTCAAAACAAACAACCAACCAAAACTATCATCTCCAGGTAAGTTTCGAATTGAAAATAGAGGTAAATAAATCAGACTTATTATATTGACGTTCCTGACCTAGGTTTAGTAATAATCAGTGTATGCTAAGTATCTATAACATTGTGGCTTAGTCTGTTAAGCATTGGACTCTTGATTTCAGCTTGGGTCATGAACTCACGGTTCACGGGTTTGAGCCCTGCGTTAGGCTCTGCACTGTCAGTGCGTGGGATCTTCTCTTTCCCTCTGTCTCTGCCCCTCCCCTGCTCACTTGCTCTCTCTCTCTCTCTCTCAAAATAAAGAAACATTAAAAACATTTTTAAAATAATAAGTTAAAATATCTATAACATTGAAAAGAACTTGACATGTTGAGTACATGACAGAAAAGCATTGCAATTCCAATTTAAAATACAGAAGTTAAGAACTGAGAAATATACTGGGGCACTTGGCTGGCTCAGTCAGTGGCAGTGTGGAGACTGCTTGAGATTCTCTCTCACCGCCCCTCCCCGACTTGTGTGCGCACGCCATGTGTGTGCACTCTGTCTCTCAAAAATAAATAAATACAACTTAAAAATAATATATAGAAATCTAATTAATATTAGATTTCTTATTTCTTTTTTTTTTAATTTACTTTTGAGAGAGATAGAGACAGCGTGAGCAGGGGAGGGTCAGAGAGAGAGGGAGACATAGACTCTGAGGACAGGCTCCAGGCTCTGAGCTAGCTGTCAGCACAGAGCCCGACGCGAGGCTTGAACCCATGAACTGCGAGATGACCTGAGCCAAAGTTGGCCGCTCAACTGACCGAGCTACCCAGGTGCCCCAGATTTCTGATTTCAAATTGAGAGGTTAGCAATGGTTGGAAACACTGGCTGTATATCAGAATCAGCTGGAGTGCTGTGACAGCTACTAAGGGTGCCCCTCATATGTTAACTTCACGTCAGACATGGCACCTGTATTTTTGTTTTAGCTTCCCAGACTGAGAATCAGTGACACAAAAGAATCTAAGTCTGTTAAAAGTGTTGAACTGTTTACAAAAACTTGAAATTCATTGGGGCGCCTGGGTGGCTCAGTCGGATAAGCGTCCGACTTCGGCTCAGGTCATGATCTCACGGTTCGTGGGTTCAAGCCCCACGTCAGGCTCTGTGCTGACAGCTTGCTCAAAGCCTGGAGCCTGCTTCAGATTCTGTGTCTTCCTCTCTCTGACCCTCCCCTGCTCACACTGTCTCTCTCTCTCTCAGAAAGAAATAAAATATTAAAAAAAAACCAAAAAAAACCCAAAACTTGAAATTCATTATGTTTGTAAGCTTAATTTATTAGATTTTCTGGTAACATTTAGGAAATTCTTGGGAAATTATACTTGTTAAGTTATGAATCTGAAGTACTTAAAAAGGAAATCAAACATATTAAATTTACAAGTGAAATAAATGTGTAAAGAAATGTAATTAAGCTGTTAAAACAGCTGTTTGAAGGACTTTAAGAAATTTAGTTCAACTTGAGTTCAAACATTAAAGGAAAAGTGAAGGTCATTTTTCTTATTTTTCTAAAGTTATGATATGTATAGAATCATTCTAAATTGAAGTAAATGGCTTAAAGAAAATTAAGTATTTCAAAATTGTTGCTCCAAAATGAGAATTAGCTAAAAATAAAATAAAACAGGCCACACCTTAACTCCCTGTTGTCTTTCCTACCCATTCTACTTAAAATAATCCCTCCATCCCCTGAACTTCCCACCAGCCAGATTTGTTGTTAGCAAGACATAAGAACTCTTTCCTAGAAGCTTCACATCTTTCTACCCTAAGGAGCTACCAGGATGCTTTGCAAATAGAAAATAACCCTAGTTAAGGTTAATTCATCATGTTGTGGAGCTTTTCACATTTTTCTTCCCAATACCCAGTCAGGCATTCTTGTTACCTTTCCAAGTCAGAGGCAGACCCAGGCCCCTAATCCCTGGTTTTCAGTACCTATGCGATCCCTTTTACCTCTCCTTTTAGGCCTCTCCTCTGAACTCAGATCCAAATCCCCATTGGCCTCCTGGCATCTCCACTAAGGGGCTGCTCAAACCAAACGTGGCCAAACGGAATTTAAGGTCATCCTTGTGGATTTTAAGTTGCTGAGGTCAAAATTTAAATACTGTCATCCTCCATTGCTTTTTCCTGCCCCACCCCCCCATCTGTCGGCTTGTTCTGTCTGTCCTACCTCCCAAAATACATCCCAAATCTGATCACTACTCTAATCCAATCCCAACTGACCCAACCCGGTAACTTTCCCTCTTCGATGTGCTCTCCAAAGAGCAGTCAGAATGATGACATTAAAATGTAAATTGGATCATGTCACATCCCAGGTTAAACCCTTCAGTGGCTTCCTAGAGCAATTAGAAAGAAATAAGACTCCTTACTATGGGTTAGAAGGCCGCATATGAGCCTTGGGCTGACCCAAGCCCACCTCTTCACAGTCTGCCCTACAGCTTTCCCTCAAGTACTCCAGGACTGCTGCAGCCTCAAGTCCTTCGCACCAACCTTTTCCTGTTTGATGGGACTTTTATTCATTCAGGTCCCTAGTTAAGTGTCACCCTAGGCATCCTGGTTAAAATAGCAACACCAGACTCTCCTCAATCAACCGTTTTTTTGCTTTTTAAAGTACTACTTGTTTGTGGTTACCGCACCTCCCCATTTGTCCACACACAAGCGCTCCATGAGAGCAGGGACTTGTTCACCGCTAAGTCCCTGGCACATGGTCCAGGGCAACGCTCATAAAGCATCAATTGAACGGCACTAGTACTCCAAAGCCCCCGCTATTTTTTTTTTTTTAATTTTTAAAATGTTTTTATTTCTAGGAGAGAGAGAGAGAGACAGCGTGAGCAGGGGAGGGTCAGAGAGAGAGGGAGTCACAGACCGAAACAGGCTCCAGGCTCTGAGCTGGCAGTCAGCACAGCCCGACGCGGGGCTCGAACCCACAAACCGCGAGATCCTGACCAGAGCGAAAGTCGGACGCTTAACCGACTAAGCCACCCAGGCACCCCAGCCCCCGCTATTTCTGTTCCCAAGAAAGAAAGAGTGGTCTCCAGATCTCCCCTTTCTAGGCCAGGGTTCTACCGGGCAAAGCCCGGGTATGACGGGAATAGGAAAGAGGCCCGGTAAAGCAATTCAAGCCCCAAGACCCAACTTTTGCCAAGGGCTCCAACTCTAGGCCTGGACACGGGGTTCACAAAGGTGACAGGCTGAGATGAGCCGAATACCTAGGCAGCGAGGCCCTCTCGCCCTTTTATTCACTCCCCGTTCCGTTAAGTGCTGCGGCCCAAACAGGGGGTCAGGGGCTTAGAAAGAAGAGCCCACGTCCACCCGTTGGGGAAAGAAGACTAAGACTCGCCGCTCGAGACGTACTGCCAAAGTAGGTACCTGGCTCTGCCGGGCCGACGGCTCCGAACTCCTCCTCCTTCCGCGCCTTCGTGTCTCGAACTGCTTGCTGGGATTCGTAGTCCTTCCTTGAGTATCAGTCTGCCGTTCCCAGAAACCTTTGGGAATCATAGCAGAGACAGCGCGGGGCGGGGGGGAGGTAAAAGAAGCGCGAGGGCTTCTAGGTGTTGTAGTTCTAGGTATTAAATCAGCAAGAGATTACAGAGGAGAAAAATTGGATAACAAATCACACCATACTATTTGGGCCGTCCTGATTTGACTCCGATGAGATTTTCCCCCTCTGCAAGCCATCACTTGCCTCTGTCGTTCAAAATGACAAGCATTGAGATTCAGAAAAACTACAAATCCCATAAAGTGTTGCACGTCTAGGGCTTTTGGAGAGCATGGTCGGCCGCGGCGCAGGCGTGGTCTCAACAGTGGAGAAAGATGGCGGCCCCGGCGTTTACTGCGAGGTTGTATTCTCTACTGTTCCGCAGGACCTCCACCTTCGCCCTCACCATCGCCGTGGGCGCCTTGTTCTTCGAGCGCGCCTTCGACCAAGGCGCGGACGCGATCTACGAACACATCAACGAGGGGGTGAGGGACTGGGCCATCCCTGACCTTGGGCCCACCTGAGGGGTGACTGTGGGAGTGGAGGTGGGGTGGGACTTAGTTTTCCTTACAAAGAGGGGTTAAAGCTATGGGCGTCTTCTGTCGGTCGACTGCCGTATGTCCTCTCCACCAGCTGTGAATCCCCAAACATTAAATGAGGTTAGTAGATCCCATTTGGGGGGTGGTGGTTATAAATAGATATCTCACCTCCTACATACCACTTGTTCATTTGCAGAAGCAAAAACTAAAGCCTAGTGAGAGCAAAGGACTTAACTAAGGCTACCCCATTAGAAGTCAGTGGCGAGTCCCACTGTCTCCTCTGAAAGTTTCAAGGGCAGATATGAGGGGGCAAGTGTGAAAAGGACATTTTAGATTCTATGGCTGGCCTTTTCAGATTGCACGCTTCACTTCCCGAAGGCTTCCCACGCAGACACGGTAGTAATAATGGTTAAGAAATGGGAATATGAAATCAGAGGCCTGGATGGTAAGACTGGGCCTTGTCACGTGATAACTGTGGCGTTCATTTGGGCGAGTTTCTTAACTTCTATAAGCTTCATTCTTATCTGTGATACAGAGATGTTAATAATAGTAACTAGAGTAGAGAATTACTGTGAGGATTATGTGAGATACAGACAAGGTGCCACAGGACCTGGTAGGTGGTGCACTCAGAAAAATAACATTTTGTGACTTTCCTCAGGAGAACGTAGGTAGGGAATGACCATACCTTTTAGACTCATTGTGTGCGAACAGTGTGCTAGATGCCATACACACTTTATATCATTACACTGTGGCTCATACTAGGGAAGGTCTCCTACAGATGGCCGCCTTGTTTCGCCATTCACTTGTGTTTTTAATTCAGAGCTGTCTGACCCTACAGCCTAGGCCGACTCTGCCCACTAATGCTGTACGGTCTGTGGCCTGGACAACTTAATGCCCCTCTGAAAGTGTTGCCACTGTTCCATCTCCTGAAAGCATTTCTGTTGGCCATTCCCAGTGTTTGGGAAAGGCATTTAGGTATGTCATCAAAACTTACCATTCTGTGCCTTTAGGAATGGAAATCCTAACTAGTTCCTGACCCAAGAATCAAATATTTAAGAAACTAAAAAACAATTCAATTATTTGGGGCTATGCATTTAGGATCTCTTGAGTAATACCTGGGAGTTGAGAAAATAAGGCATCTTCCAGTCTCTGCTCCTTAATTGTGCACTTTTGAGCAGTTACTTCAATCTCTTTACCTCAGCTTCCTGTAAAAGAAAGATCATCCTTTCCCACTTAATTTTACATGGCAATTGACAATATCAAAGCATTTTACAAGTGTTTGGAATGTGCGTCAAGCCTAGTGTTGCTTCCATTTTGCCCACCCCAGCTGTCCAGACATCATACATGTTTCTCTCAAGCTTGTTTTAGAGACCAGGACAGTGGGAGTAGCTGCAAAACGTGAGAAACAAAACTAAAAGTTTGTGTTTTTAAAATGCAGAAGCTGTGGAAACACATCAAGCACAAGTATGAGAATAAGTAGTTCCTCGGAGACCTCTACCCAAGTCAGAAAGACAAGGTCCATCCACCAGCTGTTTGCCCAGAACCAGGGCCTCAGCCTGAAGATGATGCTCACATTACTCGTCACCGACCACCTTTAGCTGTTGGCAAGAGATGGCTTCACCTGACAGACTCTTAACTTCTGTGTCTGAAGTACGTTTAATCAGTCATCAGCAAATAAATGTAAATTGTCCTTGAGACATGCTTCTGCATCTAGTGCTTTGTTAACTCTACCTGATCTTCACTCGTTGGTTGTGACCACTTCAGAGTTTTCTGCAAACATCTGAAGGGCAAGTTCCATTATTTCGGGTTCCCCATTAACTTCCAAAAAACTCTGGTTTGCAAAACATGAGCTATAATTGGAGGTGTTACTTTCCAACTCTTGCTTCTAAATCAGTAATTCCACTCTCTCTCTCTCTTTTTATTTTTTTTTAAATGTTATTGTTTACTTTTAAGAGTCAGAGAGAGACAATGCAAGCAGGGGAGGGTCAGAGAGAGAGGGAGATACTGAATCCGAAGACAGGCTCCAGGCTCTGAGCTAGCTGTTAGCACAGAGCCCGATGCAGGGCTCAAACCCACGAACCGTGAGATCATGACCTAAGCTGAAGTTGGACGCTTAGCCAGCTGAGCCACCCAGGCGCCCCCCTCTCTCTTTTTAATGTAAGCTCTGCATCCAGTGTAGGGCTGAAATTCACAACCCTGAGATCAAGAGTTGCATGCTTGATCCTGGCCTCCTGGCTGGCTCAGTTGGTGGAGCATGCAGCTCTTGATCTAGGAGTTGAGTTTGAGCCCCATGTTGGTTGTAGAGATTACTTAAATAAATAAAACTTGAAAAGAGTTGCATGCTCTACCAACTAAGTCAGCCAGGTGCCCCAATAATTCCATTTTATTTTGGGGGCACCTGGGTGGCTCAGTCATCGGATGAGCATCCAACTTCAGCTCAGGTCATGATCTTGCGGTTTGTGAGTTTGAGTCGCACGGCAGGCTGTATGCTGACAGCTCAAAGCCTGGTGCCTGTTTTCAGATTCTGTGTCTCCTTCTCTCTGCCCCTCCCCAACTCATGCTTTGTCTATCTTCATTTCTCTCTCAAAAATAAACATTTTTAGGGGCGCCTGGGTGGCTCAGTCGGTTAAGCATCCAACTCATGAATTTGGCTCAGGTCATGATCTCACAGTTCATGAGACTGAGCCCCTTGTTGAGCTCTGTGCTGACAGCCTGCTTAGGATTCTCTCCTTCTTCCCCTCTCCCCCAAATAAAGAAACATTTAAATGTAGTTAATACAGTCACAGATCCTGGCTCATGGACATAACTACTGGCAGAGAGATATGGGGGGATGTTTAAGGACCTGGAGAACCAGAAGATTCTTTCAGGAGGCTGTGGAACAGTAAGGCTGTGAGGAAGGGGGGTTCAAGGAACATAGTACATTCATTCATTCAACAAATATTTGGGTGGCCACTGTGTGAAGCATTGTGGTAGGTGCTACCAGGCATGTGGTGAGAAACATGAGGCTTGAACTACAGGAGACACTGTAAATGCCAATTTTTTTTAAAGTGTATTTATTTTGAGAGAGAGAGGGAAGGGCAGAGAGGGAGAGGGAGGGAATCTCAAACAGGCTGTGCACTGTCATCGAGGAGTCTAATGTGGAGCTCAAATTCATGAAATGCAAGATCATAACCGGAGCTGAAATCAAGAGTGGGACACTTAACCCACTGAGCCACCCAGGTGCTCCTTGTAAATGCCATTCTGTATCAAATCTATATGGAACTTGTACTATGAGAAAGTATGTGTGAAGTGGCACCATTTTCCTGAAGGATATTTTGTACCTATGTATTACAGTCTTTAATGTGCATATCTTTGACCCAAGAAATCCCACTTCTGGCAAATTTTCCTTAAAAAATATGGGTACCCATAAGGGATGTTCATCATGGTGTTTTTTATAATGGGAAAAATGAAAACAACATCCAAAATAAGAACTGTTGTTCAGGTGAAATACGCAGTTGTTGACAGCCTTGTTTTAACTGGAAGATCCAACACATATATGGCAAAGTACCAACCTCACTAATACATGAAGTAGTCTTACAAGTTAATAAGAAAAAGGTAAATAACTCAGAAGTTAGTACAAGAAATACAAATGGCTACAGACATGAAAAAATGCCCAGTTTCATTAATAAACAAAATGGAATGCTCTTTTTTGACTATCAAATCAACAAAGACGCAAAAGATTAGCAACCCCAGAGAATTTCCGTATCTGTGTGAGCACCCCCTACGTGCATATGCATGCTATTAAATTTGGTTTCTCAAGCTCCTGGCTGGCTCCATCAGAAGAGCCTGCAACTTTTGCTCTTGAGTTCGAGCCCCATGATGGTATAGAGGTGACCTAAATAAATAAAATTTTAAAATAAAATAGGGGTGCCTGGTGGCTCAGTGGGTTAAGCAACCGACTCTTGATTTCAGCTCAGGTCATGATCTCACAGTTTGTGAGTTCGAGCACAGCATCAGGCTCTGTGCTGACAGTGTGGAGCCTGCTTGGGATTCTCTCTCTGCCTCTCCCCTGCTCACACACTCTCTCTCTCAAACTAAATAATCATTAAAAAATAAATAAATTTGGTTTTCTCATGTTTAAAAAAAGGGTGTTGCCTGGGTGGCTCGGTCGGTTAAGCATCTGACTCTTGATTTCAGCTTAGGTCATGATCCCAGGGTCATGGGTTCGAGCCCTGAGTTGGTCTCCACGCAGAATGTAGAGCCTGCTCGAGATCATCTCTCTGCTCCTCTCCCCTGTTCATGCTCTCTCTCTCAAAAAATAAATAAAATACACATAACGAAATTTACCATCTTAACCATTTTTAGGTGTATGGGATATTAAATATACTCACATTGTGGTGCAGCCTTACACTGTCCATCTCCAGACTGTCCTCATCTTGTGAAACTGAAACTCACTACCTAGTCAATAGCTCCCCATTCTCCCCTTCCCCAGCCTCTGGCAACCACCATTATAATTTCTGTCCCTATGATTTTGACTAAGTACCTCCTATAAGTAGAATCACATAGTATTTGTATTTTTGTGGCTGGCTTATTTCTCTTTAGCATACTGTCCTCAAAGTTTATCCATGTTGTAGCATTTTGCTGAATTTCTTTTTTCACGCTAAGTAATATTTCATTGTGTATGTATACATACACATACACATTTTGCTAATCCATTCATCCAGTAGACACTTGGGTTTCCATGTTTATGCTATTTTGAATAATGCTGCTATGACCATGGATGTACAAAAGTATCTTCAAGATCCTGATTCTAATCAGGTATATTAGGTATATATATATATAAAAATATATATATATATATATATATTAGGTATATACCAGAAATAGAATTACTGGGTAACACAGTAATTCTTTTTACTATTATTATTAGTCAGTGTGCTTTTTGTTTTTAAAGTTTAGTTTTGAGAGAGCACACATGCGTGTGAGCAGAGAGGGTCAGAGAGAGAGGGAGAGAGAGAATCCCAAGCAGGCTCCACACTGTCAGCACAGGGCCAATATGGGGCTTGATCCCATGAATCATGAGATCATGACCTGAGCCAAAATCAAGAGTCGGGCTCTTAACCGACTGAGCCACCCAGGCTCCCCTAATCAATGTACTTTTAAGTAATCTCTACAGCCAACGTGGGGCTCGAGCACACAAACGCGAGATTAAGAGTTGCATGCTCTTCCGACAGCCAGTCAGGCACCCCAAGCATGTATTATTTTTATAATAGGAAGAGACTAAAATGAGGCTGCCTTTGGGGCACCTGGGTGGCTCAGTCGGTTAAGTGTCCGACTTTGGCTCAGGTCATGAACTTGTGGTTCGTGGGTTTGAGCCCCACGTTGGCGGGCTCTGTGCTGACGACTAAGCTCAGAGCCTGAAGCCTGCTTCAGATTCTGTATATCCATCTCTCTCTGACCCTCCCCTGCTCATGCTGTCTCTCTCCCTCTCTCAGAAATAAATTAAAAAAACATTAAAAAAAAATAAAAAATAAATTTAAAAAAGGAGGCTTCCCAGAGAGGGTGTGAACACAGACAAATACAAAATGTGAGCCTCTGGCCCTGGCTCCAGGCCTAGAACCCATTACTTGGAGGCCCCAGGATTCCCCTTCCTGAGGTCAATGAGAACTTGTCCTTGGGTGGCACTGCCAACTAAGAGCTAGGCCTTCCCAGAGCTCCGTGGGTGGATGTGTCCCACAGGTGGGGGAAATAAGGATTAGCACCCTCCTCAGCCTGGCACCAAGAAGCTGTTTATTACTGGAAAAAGTTTCCTTCCCCAGCTCAGCCTGAGATAGTTCCTGGAGTCCAGAGCTGAGACAATCTTTATGGTTAGAAAGCCCCAGGAACTTCTCACCTGTTCCCCTCGGACAGGTGTTAGGAAAAGCTAAATGCCTGGGTACCTCATAAAAGTAGGTTTCTCTTCTGAGAAATTGGTCTCCAGTATAACTCTGAGCAAGCAGGACCGCTCTCGGCTAAGGATATTGGAGCTAATGTCCTGTTTCAAAAATCTCTAGAAAACTGATAGAAACCAGTCATTTGGTCATTCGGTTAGTCATTCGGTTAGTCAATCAATACATATGTATTGAGTGCCTACACTGCCTGGCTCTGTTCTAGACATTGGGTATAGAGTGGAGAACAAGAAAGATCCCTACCCTCATACAGCTTACATTCAAGTAGAGGAGACAGATGGTAAACAAATTAAATAAGTACTTCAGCTCATGTTAAGGGCTATGAAGAAAGTAAAACTGGGTAAAATATAGGGGGTAACTCAGGTTTAAAGAGCAGTGTGAGATGCTACTAACTAGGTAGCTAGTGAGGGAACATGTATGGTCTTGTAGGTCATGCTAAAAGAGTGTGGATTTCATTCTAAGAAGAAAGGTAAGCCTCTGGAGGGTTTCTGATTAATAGCTTACACTTCTCAACTAGTTGCCATGAGCCAGGCATCATATTAAGTGCTTTGCAGTTTGTGTGTCACTTTACTTGAAACATAATCCAAGAGGCCATTTTATTATTCCCACTGAATTAACTCTAGTGAGGTGTAAAGAGCACTGATTTCAGAATGGACAGCACTGGGTTAGAATTCAAGCCCCACCACCTACTGGCTGTGTGAATTTAGGCAAATTACTTACTCTCCCTGAGCCAGTTTTCTCATCTCTAAAATACGCAGCATGGTATTGCA